GCTCCACTCTATGCTTAACTCTCTTGTGGAATGTCTCTTCCTAAATGTGGCATAGAGGGATGTAACCGCTGTTTTCCTTATGTTCTCTATATTAAAAAATTGTGCATGTCAAATCTACAGTAAAGCTCAACCAGAGGACTGCCTTTGGGGCACGTCAGGCCTGTATGCCATTCTATATTGCACTGCAAAAATAATTTTTTAATAAATAAATGAATAAATTAACTGCATCTATTAGATATGCTAACTGAAAAAAATAATAATATATATATATATATCATAGAAACTACAGGGATCTTAAATTTTATTAAAATATTTTTGTTTCCTTGGGATCCTGCATATTGTTTATCATGTACAAGTTTAATTCATTATCAAAAGAGCCTCACCCTGAGACTTAAATATTAGTATTCTATCCCTTTGCTATATAAATCTACAATCATACTGATTATCTGATAAGACTGTTGCTGTCATATTAAATGCAAGTTAAAAGAAAGTTTGGGGCAAATCAGTTCATAAAGAAATATCTACGGTATACTGTATGATCTTTTATTAAAAGATGTTGTGAGCATATGGCATTTTTTAAATAAGCTTTTCAAATGATATAATATTTTTGGATAAACTTTTACAATTATTTAATATTTTTTTAAAATAGTTTAATATTTTTATACATTCATATTTTATATATTTATGTTTTGATATTCAAATATATATATATATATTTTTTTCAATTTGACAATTTTTATTTTATCAAAGAACACAATTGGGGGGGGTACAGAAAGGAAAAGGGGGAGGGTACGCAGTTATGGTACATTGTTCTCATACACATATAAATCAGGCGAATCATCATATTGCACAGGCCGGAGCCAATCAGTGTTTTTTTTTTTTTTTGCAGTTTGGCAATTTTCGGTAAGGACACGGGGTACCAGGGAGAGACTTAGGGTGGTGATATAGTGAGTATATATCAATATACAATACCGGTGACACCCTATCTACTCTAGTCTGCGTGTCGTCCTGTTATATCTGCATGTACTGCTTGCGGTGTCTCAGTAGGAGGGGGAGTACAAAAAACCTGCGTGGGGTCTCCTGTGCCGTGTAGAAATATATATTTTTTTAAGTTTATCCAATAATATTAAATCATTTGAAAAGCTTATTTAAACATATTAAATCAAGGCCAATATTACAATTTATATAATAATATATTGGAACCATGATTTTCCTGGAGATGACAATGTTTAAAAGTGCTTTCAGATACACTTCCACCCAGTGCGGTGTTTTTACATGTAAAGGCATTTAAGGCTGAATGGGTTGTTCAGGATACAATACTATGTCTATGGTTAGAATTCTCCAACTGATAAGATGTATCTATAATTGATAAGATGTTTTGAGCATAAGGGCCAAAGCTCCAAATGTGTAAATAGGTTTATTATAATTAATTTGTATTTCAAAAAATATTTTCATATTTAGTTTTTTTTTTATATTTTAATATTGAACAAAAAAATGTAAAAGTTTATTCAAAAATATGAAATCATTTGAAAAGGTTATCCAAAAATATTACAATTTATATAATAATATATTGGAACCATGTTCTTCTTGCAGATGACATGGTAGAAAAGTGCTCCCGGCCTCGACCCCCTCAAGGTTGTGCTGTGTTTTAACATGTAGACAAATGTAAGGTTACATGGGTTACTCAGGATACAACATCTATCAATAGAACTCTTCAATCCATAAGATCTTTGCTTTGTCAAGTACTTAGATTTACGGCATAACAATTGGGGCCACAAGGAATGCAGTTGTAACCGGTCCATCAAGTCCATGGAGAACCCCCTCGGTCTCTCTACTATTGGTGATCTAGCATTCTTCAAACGAGGCTCCATACTTATTTTGGCAAAGGCATTGCTATGGCAGCAAACTCTACAACTTAAGTGCCCTGACTATAATAGAAATAATGCTATATTGCCAACACATCGTTCTGTGTTTCTTCCTGTACATATCTCCACACTGGTTGTTAGAATTGCATTTTCCTCTAGAAAGATATTGTCACAATTATCTTTACAACTAACCTCAAGTATTAGTTTACTCTATTTTTTTTTTTTAGCAGATCTTATAATTATTTTTTTTAATAGTTTAGTAAGCTGTATTAGACAGACACTGTGTAATCCTCGGAGTCATTTCTAAAACTCTCCCGTGGTCATACCAGAAGTCTTTCTGTATGACATGAAAGACATTTTTTTTTATAGTGGCATCAGCACTTCTGAGTCCAAACTCTCGCTATTAAATTCCGCAGTCACTTCCTGGGCAACGTATTACAATGAGCATTAATTTCTTCCTTGTCATCTCTACACTACCTGCTTGCTCCCAGCTGGGTAATATAAATTGGTGGCCACAAGATGGGTTTTCTTCATATGAGTTCTTTTATTCAAGCCTTATACGGAGTTCGTGTTTGGAGAATTACTTATGTAATACCAGCTCTAAGATTATTTTCAACTCAAGTCATAATTGACCTGGGGAATATAATTCACAATATCTTTCATATTTGTGCTAAACTGCAAAGCTGGCGTTCAATCAACTCAGAGGTCAGAACAATGAGCACTTTGTTGCAACTTCAGACCCAGACTATCTTATAATATGAATGGCATTGTCTCAGGAAGGATTTAACTCACCACTCCTGTAGGATTTCAGAATACCTTAAATTAAGTCCCCAGACAGCAGGAACCATACAGGTCTTGTCTGAGAGGGTAAAATATATTTAATGAATACAAAAAGGAGGCAACGATAGATAGACAGATAAGCAAACAGATAAATAGACAGATAATTTAACATGCAAACTTGCCAAAAAAAGGAAGAGGATTCCAGTTTCACATGGAGGTTATGCCATAATGTTGCTGTTAAAGGACCACTATAGTGTCAGGAAAACAAACCTGTTTTCCTATAACTATAGTGCCCTAAGGGTGCACCCACACTCAGGGTCCCCCTCGCTTGGCGCTGAAGGGGTTAAACTCCCTTCAGCAGCTTACCTTAATCCAGCGCCGGGCTCCCTCAGCGCTGGTGACCTCTCAATTTCTCAATGCTTTCCTATGGACGTTCTGCACGCTGGATGCGAATTTCGCATCCAGTATCGCAGATGCGCCTCTAGCGGCTGTCAGGAAGACAGCCACTAGAGGCTGGATTAACCCTGCTATGTAAACATAGTTTCTCTGAAACTTCTATGTTTAGATGTAAAGGGTTAAAACCTGAGGGACCTGGCACCCAGACCACTTCATTGAGCTGTAGTGGTCTGGGTGACTATAGTGTCCCTTTAAGTTTTTAATTCAGGTCATTTAATGGTTTAGTGTGAAAAGTAAGCCTGGTGGGGTATCCAGTCAATTATTTGCAAATCCAAGCCTCTAGAAATAACAACAATTAAAATAAATATCTGCCTTCTCTCTCATTCTAATAATAGTGATGAGAGGGTCATCTGTTAAAAAACCAAAAAAGAACAAACAAAAAAACAACAACACTTCTTTCTTTTTAAAGGAACACTGTGGGGTTAGGAATACAAAACTGTATTCCTAACACTATGGTGTCCCTCTGTCCCCACTCCATCAGAGGGTTAAAAATCCTTACAATACTTATCTGATTTCCAGTGCCGAGGTCCCTCAGTGCTGGCACCTTCTCCGCCTCCTCTGACGTCATGGCGAACGCCGTGTGCGCATTAGGCTTTTCTCATAGGAAAGCATGCTTTCCAATGTAATTTTTTAAGACACTGGACATACTCTAGAAAAGTTAAACTCTGTGAACAGCAGCTAAATGGGTACCTGGGTCTAGTGTCTGTCTGGTAGACAGCCATTAGAGGCACTCTTAATCTTGCAATGACAAATTAGTTTCTCTAAAACTGCTATTTTCAGCTGTAGGTTTAAAGGGAACAGGGGCAATTAATTTAGACCACTTAATTGAGATGAAGTGGCCTGGGTGTCTATAGTGTCCCTTTAAATCTTCTTCACAAAAGCCAAATGAAAAAAAAGTCTTGCCAAAAAAAGCAAAACTAAAAAATGCAATACAATAAAAATTAATCGAGATTAGCCAATTCAGGGCTCCATGCAGAATGAGCTTACATGACTGGAGGGCTTTCCCACACTATGCAATGTCAGTCACAGTGCTCAGATTGGCAAAGGAGTAAACAATGGGGGCAGCAGTCAACAGGCTATGGTTTGGTGGGCACCCTCCCGGTGTCAGAAACAAACTGTCTCTGATGTTTAACACAGAGGTTGGATTGGAGACCTAGTTCCAGGTCCATGCCCGAAATAAGCCCACTCTAATGCTCCACCCTACACTACTCCTCAGCACCACTCAGTAGGGAGATTCTGTGTTAAATGGAATTAAATCACAGAAGCTGAGATTTCAGATATAAAATATAGATATCAGTTTCGATAGTCAACCAACATTTATCGGTTCTAGATATGCCTTTAACAGCCGTAATGTAATTGATTAAATGGTTTATCGAAGCCGAAAAGAAAATATTATCAGCTCTGATTAAATCGAGGCCTTGGTTTCCTCTCTTGGGCTTACCACCATATTTACTGTTAGTATTTTTTGGTTTCCTAATTAATTTCCATAGAAATTAAAAAGAACTAAACATGGGGGGCGGGGCCTGACAGCTAGAGCTCCTTCACAAAAAGCTTGAATTTGACCACAAATCAGGGGTATTAACCCAATCCCCAACAGCAATCCTGCCCTGGCTACTTGCTCATGTAAGGTAAGCAGGGTGAACACGTCTAAAAAGACAGGCTGTGTGATACCAGCACTGCCAGTGTCCGAGGCCTGCTGCATTGGAGTGCTGGGGACGGCCGCTCCTCCACCTCACACAGCTCCTGCTTGTCTCTGTGCCCTGTTCCCCCCCCCTGTGGACCGGTGGGGGATATCCCGGTCCCCACTGGTGAACCGACCTGCGGAAGTGGAAAACAGCCGCTGAGAACACAAACGCGGTAAAACCTGTGAGATCTAATAACCGTGACTAACTTTACAAGATGGCCGCTGCAACAACCAGGGCCTTCCACGAGGCGCGGATAGAGCAGGCTTTCGAGCGCTTTTGGTCTCAATTCTGGGCTACAGTGGCCCAAAGAGCAGAGAGTGCAACTACAGCAAGCTCCACACTGACAAACCCTAGAAGTGTCCTCAACCCACAGCCTGCTTTACATGGCCGAGACAAGGCTCCGAAAGCAAAAAGGAGGAGGAAGAAGAAGCGGAGAGCACCTCAATCCCAGAAGCTAAGCACTGCCGGCAGCCTCTTCTTACCTAAGCCTCAACCCAAACAGGGTCGACCTCGCTCGCAGGGTTCAACCCCTCGACCAGTGCAGGCTCTCTCAAAGGCCAGGGGCCGGACGGGAACCATACCCACGCGTGGAATTGCTGCCGGGTGCCTGAGTTTCCTTTGCTGCAAGACAGCCCTGCAGTCCATACAGTACGAACCTGTGAACGGGACAATTATCCTCTATGATCTCCCAGTGTACACCGTAAGCTTGCCGATTAGCGGAGTAGGCTGAGCGCGCATTATGTTCGTGCATTATGAGTCCCCTCTGAGTTCAAAAGCAATTTGCCATATTTAACACGTTTACTCTAACTGTACAGAACAAAGTTATGCTTCACCTAGCATGCTCAAGGCACCTCAGTCTCAGGTTGACTTTGGTTCCAGAAGGCTTTACCCAGACACCAAGTTACCAGTGGTAATATTTTCGTTTAGTTTTCCTTTTCTCCTGCTCCTCAAGGCATGTTTTTGAAATATTTCACTGCCTACCTTTTCTTTGTGCAATTGAATTACAGGCGAAGTATATACTAGTGGTTTAATTAGTATTTACATACTCTTGTTATTAGTGAGTCCTAATCAGTACATATAGCCTGATTTATCTACTAACGTAACTCTTACTAGCCTATCATTGTTAACACAAAAATGTGCAAAAAATGTGCATGCTCATACTTTGTACTGTCTGTTTCATGCTGCTTGTTACTGCTGTCATGGCATGGCAAGCTTACATGTTAATTTTATGCACAGCAAAAATAAAGATAAAAAAAAAAAAAAGAACTAAACATAGTAGTCCTGAAACTAATATGAAAATAGTGAATGCACCTGGATTTTAACCAACTGCACTCAAATAGTACTCAAAGTTCAGCTGTCTCATACTGTGTTTAAGTTATATAGTTATACGTTTGATTAATAAACATTAGTTTGGAAGCCCATTGTTTATGTGGTGGCTTGGCCTGTCCAACTATCAACCTCGGAAAAATATTCTTGAAAACGATTTGTGCAAACAAAAAATAAATAAAATAATAGGCCAATCAGTGTACTGCAAAATATAAGCATTATAAAAATAAATAAAAATAAAATTATATATATATATAAAGATTTCTCCCCCATCCCCCCTTACATAATCTGTAAATAAAACCAACATTTAATTGTGGTTTCCTAATCATTAATCATCTTTTTGTTGGTGTCACAGACAGAACTCTGAACCACAAATCAAACTACCATGCTTATCCATTGCACAAGTCATTTGTTCAGTTATAGATCCATATGGCACTCCGGAATTCAGGAGACTCACTGATTTGCCTAAATTTGGACTAATTCAAGTTTGTTTGAAAACTAATGCACAAGTCTCATTGTTGTAATATTTTAACATTTAGGTACTTATGATACTTGAACATTTATTTATTTTTTAAATCACTTGAAAAAGAATTCACAATTTTGTACTATATATATATATATATATATATATATATATATATATATATATATATATTTGTACTAAACCTGAAATAGTAAATGCATCTTAACTCTAGATAAACCTGACCCTTAATGTCTTGATCAGTATGAAACAGGTTAACACAGATCAAAACTGTACAGCGCTTGCACAATAGACCTATTGTGTTACAGCGAAACAGCTGATATGTTTTTGGTAAGACAGGTGCCCTGACTCAGCTAATACTGGCATTAATACATGAGCAAAACACACACACACACACATAAGAATCATCTTGCACTCTTAATGCCAAATAGCAACAACCGGTTTAACTGCCACCAGGAATCAGTTTGACACGACTGTGTGCTTTCCAAAGGCACACTGTGAAATTTGAAACAATCCACACCTGTCCGAACAAAATAGCTTTCCTGTAGTGTCTGCCTAGGCCAAAGCTTGTTCCCACTTTTATTTGGATCAGAGCACAGGCAGTCTGTTAAGACTGCACCATTAAACACATGCACGATTCGTAAATGTTACTGTACTCTGGATGGAACATAGAACCATCTTCAGTGTAAGGAGACACTGGCCCTTGCTCCACTGGTGAATCCTCTTCCCTATCTCTAAACTAGAGTTTGTTTGCAGTGAGTTTAGGTGGGTTACCTGTATCACTTATGGGGGGACTACATGAAGGTTGCCTACATTCAATGCATCTCTATGAAGAGATACTGAATGGCCAGGACGGCCTTCGGCTTTCCCCCTGGCCCGCCTCCTTGGCTGAGATAATTGGAATTGACAATCTCAGCCAATCCAAAAATATGGGAAAACATTGTAATTGGCTGAAATCATCACTTCTGATGATGTCAGCCAAGGATGCAGGTCAGGGGCAGAGCCAGCAAAAGCAGACTGGAGAAAATTAGATTTACTTTAATTAGTCAATGTGCTTACACAAAACAGTAAATGTATGTTGAACCTTTCCTCAAATGATGTCTCCAGGCAATGATGGATTTTATTCAATTATATAAAAGGTCGCTCAGCTGAACAAATACTGGCCATTTTTAATTTCAAAATAGCCAAACTGGAAGCATAGCTGTCATGGAGAACGGCTATTTTGGCCTTAAATTTAAAATTCAGTTTGATAATTCTCACATTAGTAAACAACCATGTAAGTAATTCTTATTCTTATTCTGCACCAGCTGGCTCAGTGAGTGTACGTCATGGATCATTAAAACAATGCATACTTCATTAAAAAAATTAGATTATTAGTTTAATGTAACAATAACGATCATTTTCAACAAAATATTTTTGCAGGAGATTTTTATTGCCAGTGTAGTTTGTTCCAGACTCACCAGTAGAGCGAGAAGTGCGCATTTGGTTCATGTACAATATGTAATTCTACCAAACATTGTCACAAACATGGAAATTGCAACATTTAGACAATAGTTGACTTGGAAAATGATCCATCTCAGTTATAGCCAGGGATAGAACTATTTTAGCCTCAGATTTGTCATTCTTAAATTCATTAAAGGGACTCTACAGACACCTATACCACTTTGTCTCAGAGACGTGGTCTTGGTGCCATGTCCATGTGGTTTTAACTCTGCAACTGACACCATTACTGTTAGGCAAGAACAGCAATGTTTACAATGCAGAGTTAACATAGAAACATAGAAACATAGAAACATAGAAACATAGAATGTGACGGCAGATAAGAACCATTCGGCCCATCTAGTCTGCCCAATTTTCTAAATACTTTCATTAGTCCCTAGCCTTATCTTATAGTTAGGATAGCCTTATGCCTATCCCACGCATGCTTAAACTCCTTTACTGTGTTAACCTCTACCACTTCAGCTGGAAGGCTATTCCATGCATGCTTCTAGTGGCCGTCTTCCTGACAGTCACTAGAGGCACCTCCCCAATAGCCTAATTAAGCTTGGGTTTTTAAATCAGATTCTTGTAGACACCATTTGATTGGTGCACTGCTGCATTTTTGCCCGTGTGCTCAAGCCTCCCAATATTTCCCTATAGGAAAACAGGGGATTGGCTGAGATTATTTACACTGATGATCTTAGCCAAAGAGGCTGAGTGGCAGGATGGAGGTCAGGGCAGCAAAGGCTGAAAAGTAAGTAAATCTAACCTTTCAAGTCCTCACATGCAAGGAGATCAGGAGGGGGACCTAATAGGTATGTTAAGTGTTAGGAGTACATATAATGCATTAATCCTGCACACATAATACAGGACATTCAGGCCCATTTTGAGCAAACAGGGAGGCAATGTGTGTATGGGGGGCTGTGTATGTGTGTGGGGCAATGTGTGTGTGTGGGGGCAGTATGTGTATGGGTGGGCAGTGTATGTATGTGGGGGCAGTGTGTGTATTGGAGGGCAGTGTATGTGTGTGTGGGGGCAGTGTGTGTGTGTGTGTGTGTGTGTGGGGCTGTGTATGTGGGGGAAGTTTATGTGTGTGTGGGGCGGTGTATGTGTGTGTGGGGGCAGTGTGTGTATGTGTGGGGTAGTGTGTGTATGGGTGGGAAGTGTATGTGTGTGTGGGGGCAATGTATGTGTGTATGGGGGCAGTGTGTGTGTGGGGGTAGTGTGTGTATGGGGGTCCAGTGTGTATATTGTGTGTGGGCAATGTATGTGTGTGGGGGCAGTGTTTGTGGGGGCAGTGTGTGTATGGGGGCAGTGCATTTGTGTGTGGGGGCAATGTATGTGTATGGGGGCAGTGTTTGTGTATGGGGCAGTGTATGTGGGGGCAGTGTGTATGGGGGGAAGTGTATGTGTGTGTGGGGACAGTGTGTGTGTGTGCATGGGGGCAGTGTATGTGTGTGTGTGGGGGCAGTTGTGTATGGGGGCAGTTGTGTATGGGGGCAGTGTGTGTGTATGGGGGCAGTGTGTGTGTGTGTATAGGGGCAGTGTGTGTGGGGGGGCAGTGTGTGTGGGGGGGGCAGTGTGTGTTTATGGGGGGCAGTGTGTGTATGGGGGGGCAACATGTGAATGTTGGTGAGGAGGGTAGGGGGGGCTTTTTTATAAAAAAAATAAATAAATAAAGAATTTATAAAAATAAATACATTTATGTCCCCCCTCCCTTCTTACCTTTACTGAGGGAGGAGGGGGGACATTTCTCGATCCCTGGTGGTCTGATGGGGAATCCCTGCTGGTCCCAGTGGTCAGAGTGAACTCTAGCCCGCAGCTCCAGGGCTAGAGTTCAGTCTTGCGAGATTTGGAGCGTTGCCGTGGTAACCGCGGCAACACTCCATGCTCGCGAGAGAAGGACCTGGAGGAGCTGCAGACTGAGCTCCCGGGTCCTCTCTCCACTGGCGGATCGGGCTCTCTCCCTCCCCTGCTAGCTGTCAGCACGGTGCCTGCGGACCGGATAGGGAGATACACACAATGACACACAGATATACACACATTGCCAGATACCATGTATACACACACACACACACACTGTCAAATACACACACATGTCATTTTTTATATTTGAAGTCACCCTCCTGTTACCTCCTCCCTCCTGTTGCTTCTCTTTCTCCCGTGCAGTGTTTTCTATATGAAGCTGGGAGGAAGTGATGGTCCAGCAGCAATGCCCATCGGGTGGCCCTAAGAGCATGGGCCACCCGATGGGCAAATCACAGGGGAAACCCAATTTTGTTGGCTTTGTTTTGTACTAAATGCGTTTGTCTGTCTGACGAACTTAACTGGGGCTTAATTTTGGGTAGGGCTTATATTACAAGCATCCTGAAAAATCAAGCTATGTATGTGTGTGAGTATATGTATATTTACACACTAACATCTTTCTTATTGACAGACAAACA